GTGGTGGTGGTATTGGTATTTATTGAACAGCTGTTTCAGCAGGTAAAGGGTAGAATAATTCCCATGAACTACCTGGTATAGCTCCAGCTGACATAGATGTCTCTATTTTGTGTTCAGATACAAAAAGTGGTCATGGCTTTAGGAGACTACATGGGTGCCTCTTGTCATGCCTGTATTGGGGGCACCAATGTTCGTGCTGAGGTGCAGAAGCTGCAAATGGAAGCTCCCCATATCATCGTGGGCACCCCTGGCCGGGTGTTTGATATGCTTAACCGGAGATACCTGTGTGAGTACTGCTTTCCAGTTGCGGGGTCACTTCCCCAGCTTCACTTCCTAGCATTTTAGTTTCCGGTACTGGAACTGAGTTGCTCTGTGATGAACCCCATGCGTGTCATCTGAGCCCAGCTTCCTTCCCTGTGGCCTTTCCCCAGGTGGTGTTCTACTTACCAGGGCTGTCGTCTGGCCTGGCAGGGAGGCCTTGGGCAAAGGATCAGTCCTTACATTCTGAGAGCAGACTGTCTTCCTCCTTGCCTGCACCCTTATCAAGAAACTTAATTAAATGTGAAGCATTTCTCTGATTGTGTTTTGGTGTCTTTTCTGCCTTCTAGCCCCCAAATACATCAAGATGTTTGTACTGGATGAAGCAGACGAAATGTTAAGCCGTGGGTTCAAGGACCAGATCTATGATATATTCCAAAAACTCAACAGTAACACACAGGTAAGAAAAGCTACAGTGTTCATAGGGTAGCTGCGGCTTGGTTGTGGTGTGGGGAGTACAAACCACCCTTGGGGCTGATCCATTTTTTCCCCACTAGGTAGTTTTGTTGTCCGCTACAATGCCCTCTGATGTCCTTGAAGTGACCAAGAAGTTCATGCGAGACCCCATTCGGATCCTTGTGAAGAAGGAAGAATTAACCCTGGAGGGTATCCGCCAGTTCTACATCAACGTGGAGCGAGAGGTGGGGCCCGTGCAGGAGGCGGGCCTTGGCAGTAAGTTGTTGGGTATAGCCCCTGACTGATGTTTCCGGATCTCCAGGAGTGGAAGCTTGACACATTGTGTGACTTGTATGAAACCCTGACTATCACCCAGGCAGTAATCTTTATCAATACCAGAAGGAAGGTGGACTGGCTCACTGAGAAAATGCATGCCCGGGATTTCACCGTTTCTGCCATGGTAAGTTCTCAAATCTTGCTGACAGCTGTGTGCATGTGAAGTCTGTGCTGCCTGTCACTCACATCCTTGTTTTCTAGCATGGAGATATGGACCAAAAGGAACGAGATGTCATCATGAGGGAGTTCCGCTCTGGTTCTAGCAGAGTATTAATTACCACTGACCTGTTGGTGAGTAGAGGCCAGTATAGGGAAAGCAAGGGTGGGTCCAAGGTGATTCCCTCTCCAAAGGGCTGACTAGTGCCCTTTTCAGGAACGTAGCAACTTGGAAGAAAACTTGGCATGCCTGAGGTCTCTGGGGAACAAGGGATGCTTGTTGCCTTTGCCTGTCTTTGGCTGCCTACATGTATGCCTAGTCAGTCTAGAAAGATTGTATCCTCTGACGGCTCTGTCATCTTTCTTGACCTAGGCCAGAGGCATTGATGTACAGCAGGTCTCCCTAGTCATCAATTACGACCTTCCCACCAACAGGGAAAACTACATCCACAGGTAATGAAGGTCTGAGATACCAGACTCATACTCAGTGGGCTGAAACCCACATGTCATCTATTCCCATCAATTCTTCTTTTTCCCCCTTAGAATTGGTCGTGGTGGTCGCTTTGGCCGTAAAGGTGTGGCTATTAACATGGTGACAGAAGAAGACAAAAGGACTCTTCGAGACATTGAGACATTCTACAACACCTCCATTGAAGAGATGCCCCTCAATGTTGCTGACCTCATTTGAGGGGCTGTCCTGCTACCTGGCTTAGCCAGGGTTCAGTCCTGGGGGGCTGAGGAACAGCTGGAGGGGGGAGGGAAGGGAGCCAAGGGATGGACATCTTGTTTTTGTTTTTGGTTTTTTTTTGTTTCTCTCTCTCTCTCTCTTTGAATAAATGTCACTTTTTGAGGCAAAGAAGGAACCGTGAACATTTTAGACACCCTTTTCTTTGGGGTAGGCTCTGCCCCAGGCGCCGTCTCCCCCCCCCAAAAAAAAAAACACTAATCCAGTTCCCTAACTTAGTCACTTGATTCTAAAGGCTTTCCTACCCCAGCCAAGTCTCCAAAAGTGTCAAGGGTCTAAAACATGTCTGGCCTCATTTGCTGGACCAAGTCTACAGGGAGAGTCCCTGCGTGAAGTCCAGGGAATTGTCCCCAGGTGAGGGGAGCAGGGGAGAGAAAATGGTAGCCATTTTTACATTGTTTTGTATAGTATTTATTGATTCAGGAAACAAACACAAAATTCTGAATAAAATGACTTGGAAACTGCCTGTTTGGGCTTCTCATTTTGTCCCCTCCCACCTGCCGCTCATGTGGATCGGCTGGTCTAGTTCAGAACTACAGTAGTTACATTGCCCCCTACCGGTGCTTAAGTGACCCGCCGTCGACAGAAAATGTACTGCCAGTAGATACCCTTCACTGATTAGTCCAAGTGTCACCTCCTGACAGCCTTGAACCAGTCAAGGAATGGGGTCAAGGAGTGCGGGAAACCTGGTTTGGTTAACAATCCGTGCTTGGGGTCTAACCCAGGTTGAATGCTAATTGGCAATCCCCTTTGAGGGGGGTAGGCAGGGCTGGTCTCAAGCTCTTGCTATCCTGTAACTACAGACCAGACTGACCTGCCTCTACCTCCAGTACTGGGCTTGAAGGTAGACACAGATGGTGTTGAATTAACCAATGAGGAAGGGGCCTCCTATTCTCTGCCTTGTAAACTCCCAAGTAGAGCAAGTTTTGCTTAGGGGAGATCCTTGTGAGTCAACTGCTTCCTCTTGCACGTGGTAACTAACGTCCCTCCCACTCAAAAGACCACACTGCCAATCACAGCTTAATTGTGAAAACCAGTGACAAAGTGGCTGGAGCAAAGGTGTCTGAGTCAGGCTCTGGGTGGGATTATCTTAAAGGAAGTGCAACTTTCATTTCCTCTTCCAAGAGAAGGCAGAGGTTATTGGGTTGAGGAAGGAACTGGTACAGCCCAGCTGGACTCTGAGCTGCTCTACCATGAGGTTCCAAGTGCCTTGCTTGGTCTTGCTGGGACTGCTTGTAGGTAAGGAGAATTGAGGGGTGGGGGCGGGGGGAGCTCCTTGGGCAGGAACCCTTGCCTGGGTTGCCAACCAATCTCTTCCTAAAAGCCGGAGGAACAGGGAAAGACTGTCCTCATAGAAAAGCTGCTACTCTCCTGCCATCCTTCACGATGACACCTACGACCACACAGAGCACAGCCAGCCCTACGACCAGCCACAAGCCCACCACCACCAGCCACAAGCCCACCACCACCAGCCACAGGCCCACCACCACCAGCCACAAGCCCACCACCACCAGCCACAAGCCCACCACCACCAGCCACAGGCCCACCACCACCAGCCACGGAAATGTCACGGTTCATCCAACAAGTAATAGTACCACTACCAGCTCCAGGCCCGCAACCTCCACTCACAGCCCTGCCATGACCACCAGTCATGGGAATGCCACAGTTTACCCCACCACAGACAACGGCACTGCTCCCACTCCTGGATCCACCACCGGCCCTCCCCCCGGACCACCTCCACCCTCTCCAAGTCCTCGTCCAGGCTCCGAGGGGGCTCTTGGGAACTACACGTGGATGAACGGCTCCCAGCCCTGTGTCCGGCTTCAAGCACAAATTCAAATTCGAATCCTGTACCCGACCCAGGGTGGAGGAAAGGTAAAGCTAAGGTAGTGGGGCCTAGAGGGGCAAGAGGCAAGTCCCGTGGTGGTTCAGGGGGAGGAGGAAGAGCGGAGGAGGGATAAAAACATTGCAGGGCACAGACTCACTGTTCTCTCACTTCTATAGGCCTGGGGCATCTCGACACTGAATCCCAACAAAACCAAGGTCCAGGGCGGCTGTGACAGTGCCGATTCCCACCTGTCTCTCTCATTTCCTTACGGGCAGCTCACCTTGGGATTCAAACAGGTAGACAGCTTTTGTCTTCATCCTTGACTCTCCCATGCCCCATACCTATACCTTGTAAGCCTCCCTTCTTGCCCTGTGGACGTGAAGCCACTGTCCCTGTCCCTGCTGCTCTCTCTGATCCTTTTGTTCACCTCAAGGACCTGGAGCAGAGCCAGAGTATATACCTCAACTACATGGCAGTGGAATACAACGTGTCCTTCCCACAGGCAGCACGTGAGTAACCTTCCCTTCTCCTTACCACACTAGCTAGTGGGGGAAGAGGGGACACTCGGGAGTTGGGAGTGGACTGGATTTGACTCTTCATTACTAACTTCTTCAGAGTGGACATTCTCAGCTCAGAATTCATCTCTTCGAGAGCTCCAAGCTCCTCTGGGCCAAAGCTTCTGTTGCAGAAATACAAGCATAGTTCTTTCTCCAGCTGTTCACCTTGACCTGCTCTCCCTGAGGCTACAGGCTGCTCGGCTGCCCAACTCAGGACACTTGGGGCCATGTAAGACTTCCCAGAAGTTCCCCACTGCAGGGGAAGGCTCTTCCCCAGAGCTCTTTCCACACCCTGGTCTCCTCCCCAAGACTACCTATTCCCCCTTCCCTTACCGCTCTAAATTATGGGGTTGAGCTCCTCATCAAGCTCCTCCCCCTTTATTCTTCCTTCCTCCCACCTTTAGCCCCCCCCCACCACTGCAGCAACTCCTGATCACCCCATCTTTCCACCAGGTTTCTCCTGCGCCAGCGACCAATCCCTCTTGCTCCCTCTCATCATTGGCCTGGTCCTCCTTGGCCTCCTCGCCCTGGTGCTCGTTGCCTTCTGCGTTACCCGGAGACGACAATCAGCCTACCAGCCTCTCTGAGCATTTGCTCCAATCCACTCCGGGCCACCAAGGAGCACCCTCATTTCTTCAATGTGCACCTGACTCAACCAAGTTATTCTCCTTTCCTGTCTTTAAGAACAAAACTAGAGATTTTGTAATGGGGGGATTAATAAACAGGAACCGTGTCCCATTCCTGCTCACAAAAGGAGCATGAAAACTTACGAAATCGGTGTCCTTGTTCCCTTGCCATGCCAGAGTTAACAGCCACGAGTTTCTTGTCATGTGCCTTCCTGGTTGAGTCACCAGGGGACAGCTGGCAAGAAGGGATGTGAGTCCCAGAGTGCCCGAATGCCTCCATGGTTCAGCCTTCGGTGTCTGGCAGAGCAGCTGGGGAAGCTACCGGAACTCCCTCCCCGTGCTGGGGCCAGTGGCTACCCATCCCCTTAACACAAGGCATCGCCCATCCTGGCCTCCTGGCCTGACCCTCTGTCCAGCCGGAGGTGCAACACAGGCCAAGTGAGTAGGTGGCTGTGTAATTTCATTTTCAAGGGGTGATGCCAGGGGCTACTGAGCTTTAACAAGAGTCCCTGGCCACTGTGGCCAGGGCTAGATTCACTCAAGAGCCCACTGCAAAGAAATGCACCAACCATGGAAGCAGTGGGTGCAGCAAACACACCCTTGATGCCTGGGTACCAGAGGGCGAGGGGGTGGAGCCACTTGCAGGACAGACCATGTCCAGATTCTAAAAGGGACTTCCAGATGGCCACCCACTGTACCGACATCAAGTCTAAGCCCTATTATTTTGTTTTTTTGAGACTGGGTTTCTCTGTGTAGCCCTGGCTGTCCTGGAACCCACTCTGTAGACCAGGCTGGCCTTGAACTCCCCAAGATCCGCCTGCCTCTGCCTCCAGTGCTAGGATTAAAGGCGTGCGCCACCACCGCCAGACAAGTTTTACTATTTGTAGTAGGGCATAGCGCATCCAATGGGAGTTAAGGATGGGTGCCATTCCAGTTGTAAGAGCCCCATGCGGTTCTAGAAGTTCTTGGGGGGCTGGAGTCCTACCCAGCTGAGAGGTACCTGTGGCAGCACCCGACCAGCACCGCCCCTCCAAGAACAAGGGGCAGGGAAACTAGCGTGCCCTAAGCCCGAGGGCCTGGGTGCACATGCAGAGGGTGAACCGAGAGCGCTGTTCAGGCGCTGGGCGCGCTGGGGTGCAGCATGGAGTGACCCCAGGGGCCCCTTCCCAAGCAAGAGCTACTGGGGACCCTCGGCCTGCGCCCTCCGGCCCGTCGCCAGCGTTCCCGCCTGGACGCGTCCGGGGCCGCTCTCCGGTTCGCTCCTGTTCCGCCGGACGGGCATCTTCCAACACCCGGGCAAAGCACGGGAAGAAGCGGGGCCAGCGGGGACGCCCAGCTCAGAACGGCCGCGTCCTGGTGCCATTCCCTCCGGGGAGACCCGGAGGAGGAGAGAAGGGAGCCGCAGCGCCCCCGCTAGCGCCATTTTGAAGCCTCGGGCTCTTTCCCTCCCCAACTTCAAACACAAAGTTGGCCGGGCGAGGACAAGATGGCGCATCCGCAGGGGGGACGGCGGGAGGCGGAGGGACGAACCTCCCCTGCAGGACGCCAGCGGCCACAAAAGCGCGGAAGTGCGAGCGGCGCAGGCGCCCGGCTCGGCCACGCGCTCCAGGGCGGGCGTCAGGGCGCGTGCGTGGCCCAGCCTGCGGGCG